GGTTGAGTACGGAATAGTAACATATGACTTTCTGTAATCAGGACCCGAGACCGAGTAACTTACAGAGTACTCGTAGTTCTGGCTCGGGATGACTCGGTGGCGCCATATGAGAGGTCATGAACCTCATTGGACTGAGTTGAGGCCTGTAGCAAATATTAATTGTACCTCCCGGAGTCCCGGTCCGGTAGTACTCATAAGTTACCTTGGTTCAAGCTAAAAGAATCCCAGCAAAGGCCTTTCCAGTACTTGTATTTGGGTGGTTGACTACGCAGTAAGTAACTATTCACTACGAAAACTGTTACTGTACGTATCTCGGCGCTGCTTTCTTCCTCAAAAACCCTTTTTGACTTGATACACGCTGCTAATATCCTTCACAATCATCATATATACGCTAAAATCCAGTGCTTCAGGTCTGAAAGTACAGAACCACTTTGATGTCTTACTCGTTACAACCAATTTTAGGGAGTTGATCTTAACCTGACTTGCATGCCAACCAGAGTACAGGAGTGATACGTACAGGCCATCCCATCCATGTTATTAATTTCTTATTATGCAATATGGGTTATGTGCTGTCGATTGATGTCTTTGAATGAACATCTCTGAGGAGATCTTCTGCGGTATATATATCCCCTTGCCCGCCCTATCCTTCTCACCACAAGAAATCCACATGAGGGGAACAGTGTGAAGAGTAGGCATGACTGCAATTTTCCCTGTGCTTGCCATCAAGGCCAAAGGTTTTGGTTTTAAACAAGCGTCCGCATTCACTTTACATTGTCCCATCTATGATGCGTCAGGTAATAGCAACCATTCCAACGGTAATGCTTCCATGGACACCCAGCAATTTTGTTCGTCTGCCGGGATAGCCACCGAAAAAAAGGTAAGAAAGCAGACAGATAAGAAAACCATGGGACCGAAATCATGAACAGAATTGAGATCAGCTGCGGCCGAATCAAGAAAGCACCTATACAAAATTGGGTCCCGTACGTCAAAGCGATTGCAGCAAACCGCGTTCAAGGGGATTAACCGTAGGTAACACACCACCTTCCGAACATACACATGGAGAGAGAAGAGCTACTAAAACAGAGATTGAAAAATATATGAGCCAAGGCCAGGCCGAAAGCGAGAGCGCCTAGCTCCCACGCCCGAGTGGGAGTCATTAGCCCCAGCTACGTTCTAGGGCGTGCTTAGAAAGGAGGAGGGATCATGCCCTGGGCCTCAACTTTCTCTTGCTGCTCCATCAATTCCTCGCCAGCGATCTCGAGGGAAACAGCAAGACCGAGCTTGGCCGTTTGCTAATGGAGAGACAAGCATTAGTGTGACAATTCCAACAAAAGCTGTATTTTGTTGAAGTATGGATGTGACTTACCTTGGCCTGATCAATCTCGCCGGCGAAAGTAAGAGCAATAGGCATGGCTATCCGCTTCTCGAGAAGGCAGCTGACCTTTCCGGCGCTGTCGACCTGAGCACGGAACGTAGAAGCGCGGAAGTCATACTTAGCACCGATGGCAGTAGTGCCATCACGGCTAGGACCACCCATCAGCGCAGCAGCCGCGTTAGGAGCGAACTGCAGGTTCATATCGACACCGGCCTCAACGCGCTCAGAAAGCTTCTTCCAGTAAGAGGCAGTCAAAACACCCTGAGCCTGAAGTTGTGCGCTGGCGATCCAGTCGTTGGCCTTGTACCGGGCACTGTAAGACAGGGCACTTTCCGGACGAGTGTTCATACCCTGGCGCTGCCAAATTGCTTCAAATCCAAGTGCTAGGCTGGGCGTAACGGATTGAAGATAGCTGCCAACGAAAATTCCAGTGAGACCTCCATCCAAGAGAGATGGGTTGAAAGCCTTGAGAGAAGCCGAGAAATCATCACCGGTGTAGTCCTGGTCGACCTGAATGAGGGCCTGACTGGAACCAGCCATAATCTGAGTGTTGGTCTTGGTGACCAACTTGGGGGTCCAGCGGTAGTTGGCGACAGCGGCGAGTCCACCATCGCTTCCGATGTTACCTTGCATAAAGACCTGCATGAGCCAGTAGTGATGGCCGTTAGCATGTGGCAATATACTTCATGAAGTGTAGCAAGAGTGTTTTAAATCAGAGGAAGGTTTACCTTCGGACTTCCATACATAGCGGAGAAGTTGTATGGAGGCAAGTTTCCGGACGAGCCCATCGAGAACGCATGCGACACACGGAACAAGGGAGACATCCCAAAGACTTTAGTCAAATCGGCACGAAGACCCGTGAACATGAAGTTTGACAGCAGAACATCCTTTTGCACCTCACGGGCGATGTTTTCCACAGTTCCGGGGTTGGAGAGACCGAGGGCGGCCCTGCGCTCGGAGAACGAGGAGTATGCATCCTTGAGGGCTGCGGCAACGGAATTGTCCGTCAAGAACGATGGAGGAGTCAAATAATCGGACATTGTGAAGGATTGCGGAGGAAAAACAAGGTCGGTATATTCGAGTGGAAGGAAGCGGACGTTAGAACGTGACGCGGCCGTCCTTGTGATGGAAAGATGGGGAAGGACAAGGCTAGGAAAGACGAGTTCTTGACACCAGCCCTAAAAAGAAGACCGAAGGAATCCAGGAGCAACCGTGACAGTTGCAAAGGCAGGTATCGAGAAAAGTGCCTGACCTGCGCGGGGAGGTAGGGGGAAGGGGGTAGGAAGAAGAAGAGGAGGAGGAGGGAATGCCGAACACCGAGGTAGAATTGGTGGTGAGGTTCAGTTGATGGACGATTGAAGCCCAGAGCTTTCGGGACTGAAAAAAGTCGCTCAACCTTCGCTTTTCCGCCCGGGCTGCGGCTAAGGTATCTGCGGTTCGCCGGAGCTAAACTTACTCAGTAAGAACCAGCCTCGGATGCTCGGATTTTCAGTTCCGCCGCGATGACCTAATCAAACTTCATAATGTAATCGGACACTAAGCCGGCGCGACACCGAGCCGGCGGCCGCCGCACCGCGTCTTGCACCCCCAGTAACTTAAAGTTAAAAAACTTATCTAAACTGCCCTATATTAAAATATCTTATAATTTTTTTGGTGTTTTGTTTTGTATATTAATATAGCCGATACAGATAAATATTTAAATCTTACTATTAAGGCCTTTAAAAGTAGAAAGTTTACTATAAAGGCTACCTGCACTGCTGTATTTAATATTAAAATAAGTACTTTTAAAGATTATTTAAATAGTATTAAATTATATACTAAAAAAAATACTAATTGTAGAAAGCTATCTGTAATTAAAAAAAATATATTAAAACAGTAGCTTTTTAATATAGTCTACTAAAAGCTGTTTTTTAAAATCTATAATACTTAATTCTCTGCTTAGCTGCTATATTAAGTAAAGTTAAAGCTAAATTAATAAAATACTATATTAAAATATTAAATTATTTACTTTATTAAATATTATTTAGAATTAATATTTAAGTTTATATTAAAGTATAATTATTAATATACTAAATATAAGGATTTTTATCTTATTTAAAAATAGTTTAATTTTATTTATAATACAGTCTAAAAATATAGTATTTTTAATAAAAATATATAAAATATAGATAAGACTGGATTTTAGATAGAAGTTACTTTAACTGCTTATATAATTTATAGTTTAAAAATATAAGAATTATATACTAAGTATATACAGCTAAAAAACTATAAATAAATAACTTTAATTATTATAATTTTAGCTTTAAAAATAGTACTGCTACTATAGATTATTTTTACAGTATAGAATTATTAATTAATATAGTATAAAGTTTATTTAAGATTATATTATTTAAGTATTAGTAAAAATAGCTGGACTACTAATAAATTTAGCTTTAACTGGCTTTAGAATATATTTAATAGATATACAGCTTTAAAAACTATTAGTAAGTATTATATATTAATTTTTAACAGCTATAGCAGTTATATAATTTAGTAGTTTAATTAGTTTTATATAGTATAAAAAATTATTTTTTTATATATACCAGTTTATTTATTATATAAACTGCAGCTGCTTAATATTATATATTTTAAGCTGTTAAAAAAATTATATATAGCTAATATATATTTAAAATTATTTATTATAAAAAAAAATTAATTACTAAATTTAATTTTTTACAGCTATATTATAGTATATATACTAAGGTTTTTTTTAATATTAATATACTTAGTAGATTTTATACTACCGGCCTTGTTTTTTTAAATTTTTAAAAGGTTTTTTTAATACTATAGATTTAATTAAAAATACTAAGTCTACTAATATTTTTATATTCTACTTAGTTTTTTTATTTTAGAAAAATACCTATAAATTTATATAAACTTGGAAGATAGAAACAAAAACTATAAAAATTTACAGATTAAGGCCTGGTATTAATAGTTTTATATAAAATTATTAAAAAAGTAATTAAGGCTGTAGAATAGTTTATATAAAATATAGTTCTACTTTAATAATAAGTTAAGCAGTTCCAGTCTATCTAAGCAAGTAAAAAAAAAAAGAAAAAGGCCTTATATTATTATATACAGTATAGAGGTACTTTAATAGGCTAAAAGGGCTTTAATATAGTTTAGGTATAAAAAGTTAAAGTAATTTAGGCTGTAGTACTAAGGCCGGCCAGAATACACTGGCCAGCCCGCTGTAGTATATATAAAAAAAAAAAACACAATTGTTTAAAATACCCTTATAAAAACAACAAGAATTAATGTATATAGCCTTTTATTAGTGGTTTAATAGCCTTAGAAAGCGGCCAGCGAGGCAGTCAGCAAGGCGGCGGCAGACCGCCGCCGGCTCGGTGTCGCACCGGCTTGGTGTCCGATTACGTTAAGGTAGTTAACTACGGAGTGTCTTGTTACATATGAGTACGGAGTACTCCGTAGTTAGGTACAGTAAAGTAAAGAGGTTAGTTAGTACGGTAAGCCTGAGTGTACAGTATAGTAGTTTGCCAATTGATACATTATAACTAACTAATGGAACTGACTAACTAGTTAAGGCAGTTGAATTAGTCACCGGTGACCATTCACACATGCATCCCGACACGAAAGTGATTCTTATCTCATTCAGTTCTTGTACAGTACTTTAGTATAGTAGTACCATTTCGTCTTTGATATTGCTCTTGAACTATCCTTGACAGCCCACATCAGTCTGAATATTACCTATATACTGTTTCAACCATTATACCTCGATGATAGAATCGCCCTTTAGGTGTGGAGTAATTGACTACAGGTACTGAGTAATTATCGTCTACTTACTCGAGGTATGTACAGCTGAATACTGTACCTACGTACTAGAGACACAGTCCGCTGCCTGGTTGGGCCGAGCTCGTTGCTCCTTCTCCTTCTCTAATCTTGCATGCCGACTGTTGGAACCTGCCTTCCTTTGACTCCAGCTTTTACCCTCCATGACCTTTCTTATTTATCCCACCCAATCTTCTTCAACATCGACATAGAAATTGCTCGTTATCGTGCTGTTCGTTATCATTGTCAAAGAAAGCCCGTACTTAATCCCTTAGCACCATGGACACATTACTGTAAGTCCCCTTCTCCCCGCCATCTCGTGCCATTCTCCGATCTATCATGAGTCTGGCTCCTGCACACTCGCCTGTGCGTACCCATACCGCTTACGCTTTTTGCGACCTGGATAAACCCACACTTACCTGGTGCTCTAACATGGACTAGAACTGCTGAAATTATCGCCAATTCCCCGCGTTTCCGACGGAAGTCTTCTACCTTCGTCGATGCGATTCATGACTTACCCGAGAAGGCCGATCTGGCTCCGGCCCAGCTCTACAGTACCGAGTCAGGACGGCTTTTCCACTCCGGCCGAATCGTCATTATCACCGTGGGGTTACCGGCGAGGGGTAAAACGTTCGTCATACCCAAGTCACTCGTATATTTCCTTTGGCTTGCTGACGCTTGATCAGACATATGTCTGTAGCTCTAGCGCGATATCTACGATGGTAGGTCAATTCTTCCACGGGAGATTCGCTGAGACTAGCGCTTAAGATGTCCCAGGTTAGGTGTGAAAACAAGAATATTTCATCTAGGAGATTATAGACGTGCAACCATTCCCTTTGGCCAGGATATTCCAGACGACTACTTCTTTGTGAACGGTAAGCCTCAAGTGGCAGTTCTTGCAACTTTCCTCAACGTACTCATTCCGCACAGCATCCGCTTCATCGGTCCTCTTAAGACAAAAGATTGTGAAACGGTGCCGGGAAGATATTTATCAGTTTTTGAACCATGAAAATGGACAGATAGCCATTTACGACGCTGTCAATCCATTGGCATCCGGTCGGCGATCACTCGCAAAAGAATTCGCCAAGCATGACATTGAGGTGAGTTGTCTGGGATGTGTGCTTTGGGTCTCTTCATTTATTTTGACCCTTTCTCCCATTAGACACTATTCATTGAGTCGTGGTGTGACGACGAACGCATAATCGAAGAAAACGTCCGAAGGGTCAAAATATCCTCACCCGATGTAAGTACTTCCCGAAACTTTCGCGCGAGACCCTAATTCTTGTATAGTATGTGGGCTGGAGCTCGGAAGATGCGGTGAAACATTACTTGACTCGGATAGCCGCTCGTATCCCTCAATTTCAGTCAATGGAGGAGACGGATCTGAACTATATCAAGGTACTGGCCGTAGCCCTCCTCAAGCCATCTGCTTTCGCTAATCACAAATAGATGATGAATGCTGGGGAAAGGTTAATTGTGAACAATCGAAGCTTCGGCTATCTTTCCAACCGAATAGTGTTCTATCTCCTCAATCTTCACATCAAATCCAGACACACGTACTTTGCACGGGTAAGTCTGGAGGATTGTATCTGTTTTACATATTTTAAAGGCTGAAAATCACCAGGCTGGCGTATCGCTGGAAGCGGATTCTTACAAAGCAGATGCCTCGCTGTCTGAGCAGGGCGAAGACTATGCGAAGAAGATGACGGAGTCCTTGCTGAAGCATAGGGAGTCTGAAAGACAAGCAATGATCGACGAGGGAGAACCGAGTTATGAGTTAAAACCACTAACGGTCTGGACCTCAACACGAAGAAGGACAGTTGAGACGGCAAAGTATCTTCATGAAAAAGGATACAAAGTGCGACAGCGATCTCAGATGAGCCAGCTAAATCCCGGAGTTTGCGAGAAGATGTCAGAGGCGAAGATCCGTCAGGAGTATCCGGAAGAGGTTGCAAAACACGAACTTGACCCCTACCATCATCGGTATCCGCGGGCGGAGGTGAATAGCCTTGCTATCTTCCCAAAAGTATTATCGTTGTAGCTGACAGCAATGGCAGTCATACCATGACCTTGCAGTTCGGCTCGAACCTATCATTCTAGAGCTCGAGCGTGAACAGAACGATCTGCTGATTATCGCACATGAAAGCGTGCTGAGAGTCTTATACGGGTACTTGATGGCCTGCAATGCTGCGGATATTCCGTTCTTGGATTTCCCTCGCGACGAGATTATTGAAGTAAGCCCAATGAGAAGCCTTCGAAATTCACTTGAGATGAATGTCCATCTGACCGGTCCCTCTAGATCATACCCGAAAGCTATCAAAACGAAGCACGCAGGATCCATATCTCTGGCCTTCCCAGAGAAATCGTCCCCGGTTCTCCTCAGGACATCAAGATCCCTGTGCCCCCCAGCGGAGTGACGACCCCTTTGGCCGCTGATCTTGGCAGCCCGCGCGAGGGTCTCTCGACTCCACAGAGCGGCCTCCGAACCCCGCGCGAACCGGAAAGAATCTCACAGCAGCATGTTGAAGACGTTGTCTAGTATATATATAGTTTATCATGCACATGGTACCATGGGCGTTGTTGGTGTCGAGCAGATCCTCATATATCAAAGCGTTGCCAGAAGGACTCGGCACTAGCCACCGTGGAGCGTAGAAACAAAGACGATATTATCGCCAGATTGAAGCTCATAAGTTTCCTCCCCTTCGAGCTCCCAGTCGGCATCGTTGATCAAGACTAGGATTCCGGGGCGCCTAGTAGAATATACATGCATAGGGTCAGTCATCGTTGCTCTCATACCGGTCCTTGGACAGACGTACACATTATCTTCCAGTATGAACAGTTCCTTTCGTTGATCTTTCATGAGGTTTTTGACCAAGTATCCAAGAAGGTAGGATACGTTTGGTCGGCTGCCATCGCTGAGCTGGGAAGGAAGGGTGACGCTGTGCTTGCGCTCGTTGGCGAACAAGATTTCTAGGCCTCCACTATAGAGCGAAGCAGTCAATGAATCATGCTCGGGTCAGCTCGGGGATTATGTAGAGCAAAGGGGAAACTCAACGTGAACTCAACCGTGAGCCAAAGGGATGTAGAGTCTGAAGAGTTTGCTTCCATGATTGAAAGGTAAGGAGAGGATGGATAGATCGGTAGATCGATAGACAGATAGAATACTCAGAATGATTCTGACCCTGATGTTAAAGAGTTCACCGAGTAAGAGGCAGGAAGACGAAAAGGACGCTGTGACTGTCCAGTCAAAAGGGTACAGCAGTTTTACTCAGTAACTTTGAGTAACTTTAGTCTTATCGATAAGCTCCCCCTCCCTTCAGCAGCACAAAAAGTCAGTCGATTTGCGACAGACCGCCCTGCCCGCCCCCCGCCGGCCTCTCTTACCTTTTCCTCCGTGCATTTGAGATTGATTCGGTTCGGACAGCAAGCGGTGGTTCCTCATCTCCTTTTCAGACCTGTTGGGCTCCGATTTCACCAGCTCAATGGTCTCTGTCACCACCGAGTACATTAGCGTTGGGGGCAATAGGCATCCCGCCGCCGCCGATTGGGACGTCCGGACCGGCGTGCTCGCCTTCGGTGCCGATAACAATGTAGCACTATGGAACCCAAATGTGTGTGCTCATTTATTATTACATTCTCTTTCGCTCATTGCCTGACCCAAATACAGGATAGTACGCAGCGCGGTGTCTATTCACTCCTTGTCGGCCACACCGACAAGGTCAGCGCCGTTCGATTCTACACCTGCCCTACTACAGACACTAAATACCTCTTGACCGGGTCAGTCGACCATACAATCCGTCTATGGCGAGCGCACTCAGTTGACTCGCGTCAATTCGTGCACGTGCATACCCTTGAAGGCCATACTGGCTCAGTCAATACCATTGCCGTGGCTGACGGGCACGAGATTGTGGCAACCGGAGCCGCTGATGGAACCGTCAAAGTATGGAAGATTCATGCCCAGGGCGAAGCAAAGGGGGAGCTGCTCAAGTCAATAACCATGAAGCCACGGTTCTTTCCACTGGCCTTGGCATTGAGCCCTCTTCAGTCGGAGTCGGATACCAGACCCGTTGCCTTAGCGGTTGCAGGCACCACCAATGCCGTGCAAATTTACGTGGCGGAGAACACCCTTACGGCTCTTGAATTCAAGCTCTCGGCCGTGTTGTCTGGACATGAAGCTTGGGTACGGTCTTTGAATTTCACGTTGGACAAGCAGAGCGCAGCCGGTGACATTCTACTGGCATCGGCGAGTCAAGACAAATATGTCCGACTCTGGAGACTGCAGCGTGGGGAAGCGACTACTACTGCCCCGGCCGATTATGTTGATCCCATGTTAGGTGGCGCTGAGACAACTCTTTCGAACAAAGCCCACCAATTCGAGGTAACCGGGGTGAAATTCTCCGTCACCTTCGAAGCGCTACTTTTCGGAAACGAGGACTGGATCTACACCGCCAACTGGAATCCCAATCCAGAGCGTCAGCAGCTCCTCACTTCCTCGGCTGATAATACACTAACAATTTGGGAGCAAGATCCTGCTTCCGGGGTGTGGCTCTCCGCCGAGAGGATGGGAGAGATTAGCGTCCAGAAAGGCTCAACAACCGCGACTGGCAGTACAGGTGGGTTTTGGATTGGCCTCTGGTCTCCAGATGGCACGCAGGTTGCCAGCCTCGGCCGTACCGGTAGCTGGCGAGCATGGAAATATGATGCAGCATCTGATTTGTGGGTGCAATCTCTTGGGATTTCTGGACATGTACGGTCGGTCAACGGCGTACAATGGGAGCCTTCTGGCGGATACCTCCTGTCGACTAGCGCCGACCAAACCACGCGCCTTCATGCCAAATGGGAGCGCGAAGGACTTCAGTCTTGGCATGAGTTCTCCCGTCCTCAAATACATGGGTACGACTTGAACTGTATCGATACTCTAGGACCGGCTAGATTTGTGTCTGGCGCAGACGAGAAGCTCCTGCGGGTTTTCAACGAACCTCGACCAATCGCGAAACTACTGGAGAAGCTCTCCGGCTTCAAGCAATCCGAAGAGGATCAACTACCTGACACAGCCGAGATCCCTGTGCTGGGTTTGTCAAACCAAGCTCCGGCTGACGATGCCCCCGGAGGAGAGGAGGAAACAGATAACGCATATATGGAGAAGACACAGGCTACCTCAACGACACTTTTAGAGTCAAATCAACCGCCGTTTGAGGATCAACTGTCTCGTCACACCCTATGGCCCGAGCATGAGAAGTTATATGGCCACGGCTATGAAATTTCTGCTGTAGCCGTTAGCCATGACCGCACGCTTATCGCCACAGCCTGCAAAGCGAGCTCGATTGACCATGCGGTGGTTCGTTTATATGACACTTCCGACTGGCATGAGATTCGGCCCTCCCTTGCCGCTCATACCTTGACCATCACAAGTCTCTGTTTCTCTAGTGATGATCAGCATCTTCTCAGCGTTGGTCGTGACAGACAATGGGCTGTGTACAAGCGCAGCGAGCAAGACCCCTCAACCTTCTCAATTCTGACGAACAATCCCAAGGGCCATTCACGTATGATTCTCGACGCTGCATGGGCTCCGATATCACAGACTCCTATCTTCGCGACTGCTGGCCGCGACAAGTCAGTGAAGGTCTGGCAAATGCGTGACGGTGCATGCGAATGCAAAGCGACAATCCCCTTGAAAACCCCTGTAACTGCCATCTCATTCCTTTCGAGTATACAGAAGGATTCGTTCATTCTCGCCGCGGGCGAAGAGAGCGGGGAGCTGTCTATCCACCGTATTGCCATCGGCAGTCTGCAAACTAGTCACCTGGCAAGCGTTGACAAGCTCAAATCGCCGTCCAAGGCCATTACTCAACTTTCCTGGTGGCCGGGCCAGAAGGAAGCGGCGCCACATTTCGTGCTTGCCGTGGCAAGTGAAGATACCTCGTTGCGCGTATATGATTTCTCAGATTTGGTTTCATGAGCGGAAGATTGGTATATCCAGGTACACGTAGTATATTCGCAGTAGGAGACAATGATGAAAGCCAATAAAAAAAAACATGAAGCAAACAAAGTGAAAAGCCATTCATTAGATCGTCTGCATGTTGAAAAACACCGGGAGTAGGCTGAATGTATCCGCTTGTTCTAGAACTATTGAAGTTGAAAGTTACCGTGTATCGACCATAATGGTTGAAATGTGCGCACCCATGGAAACAGGGCAGGGCCAAGGTAGAGAGTGCAAACACTAAGAAAGAAAGAGAAAATGAGAAGTGGAATATATCATGGTCGCTTTTCAAGCCCATAGCCACCCAAGCCATCTAGTGACGGGTAGGTTTTGGCCTGGCCCTGATATCCATTCCGGGGACCTCTGTGTCGAAGATCCTCCGTGAGCCATTTGAGCACCAGCTCGCCAAGCTGACTATTCTGGGACGACTCTTTGACCTCGTCGCGGAACGTCTCGATAGGACCCCATTGGCGGACGGTGCCTAGATGCATGTGGACCAGATGCGTGGGCCACAGGGACAGATTGTCCAGAATGTGCGTGGCGTACACGATGGAGCAGGGTCTGGACTCTGTTTCGCGCTTCAAGAACCCCAGGAAATTGGCCCGGGAGAGCAGGTCCAGATCGACGGTGATCTCGTCAAGCAGGAGAACCCGCCAGGGACGGAGCAAGCCCATCGCCAGCTGCACGCGGCGACGCTCTCCATCCGACACGGCGTGCATGCGCCACCGGAGATCGATGTCGAGTATCTCGACCAGCTCGTCCCGACGCTCTGGGTAGGCGTTGCCGCCAACAGATGCCAGTAGAGTGGGCACGTCGATGTCGGTCCGGACAATGTTGTTCAGGACCCATTCCATGCCGAGATAAGTGACGCCTTCCAGACCGTCTTTGAAGGGGTCTTTGCCGGCCACGGTAATGGTGTCCGTTGGGGCCAGACGCTTCCCGGACAGGAGGCGTAGGAGTGTGGTCTTGCCGGCACCGTTGGCTAGGGAGATGTCAACCTCCCAGAAGATGAAATAGTCACTTTACCATGCAGCGAGCTTGCTTACCTCCGATGAGTAGAGTACGACTGCCGGACGGCACGTTCAGATTGATATCCGTCAAGCCTGACGATCCATCGGGAAACTTGAAAGACAGGTTTCTCACCTCGATTGAGGGGGGGTGCAGATCGGAGTCAGCCATGGAATAGAAGAAGAAGAAGAAGAAGAAGAAGAAGAAGAAGAAGAAGACCTTGGTCGGTATATATACCCCTTTGGTCCTTTCAACAGATTCAAGCAATTTATTCTAGGAATTGAAGTGGATTGATGGACAGCTGGGAGATCGGCGGGGAGGGAACACGCGATAAAAGATAAGATCCTAATCCCTTGATGAGGTAAGAAACCCGAACTGCGATTTTCTCGCTCTCGTTCTCTGATTCTCTCCCCGCAATTTTTCTTTTTGGTTTCTGGGAGACGGCACCTAGCACCCAGAGCCTTGTCTTCTTTGAAGTCAGGTATATTTCTCCAGGCCAAAATGCTAAGTGTAGTCTGGTCCGGTTCCTCATGCGACATCTTTTCCGGCAACTGTTCTCTATTTACTCGTCTCCACCTGTCATGAAGCCCCTCATCGCTGTCGTCGGAGCGACAGGTACTGGCAAGTCGAAGGTTAGCAAGAACTGAGAATCAGAAGAAGAGAGTCAAGTGGCAAGAAGGACATACATCTAGTCTGGACTCATCGACTAACGGCTACAGATAGCTTGCAGTTGACCTGGCCTCGCGCTTCAATGGCGAAATCATCAATGGAGATGCGATGCAAATGTACCGCGGCCTCCCGATCATCACCAATCAAATCCCTCCTGAGGAGCGTAACGGTATTCCGCATCATTTACTTAGCTGTGTCGAAATAGAGGAAGAGCCATGGTGGATCGGTCGATTCAAACAGGACAGTCTTCGGCTGATTGACGAGATCCACGCCAAGGGGAAACTTCCGATTCTAGTCGGAGGCACACATTACTACACACAAGCCGTGCTATTCAATGATCAACTCGTCGATGCAGATCAAAATTCCGGCGATGATGATCCAGTCTTTCGGGATGACAACGGTGACCGGGATTCATCGACCAAATGGCCGATTCTCGACGCTACTCCAGAAGTGGTGTTGCAGAAACTCAAAGAAGTCGACCCAGCCATGGCGGCTAGATGGCACCCAAATGATGTCCGCAAGATCCGGCGCTCTTTGGAGATCTACTTCCAAACTGGGCGACCCGCATCTGAGGTCTACGCAGAACAACAGCGGCTGAAACAGGCTGACATGGCGCGTAACAGCCTTTCTCTTGGCGTGGGTCGTTTGCGATACCCGACAATGATTTTCTGGGTGCACTCGGAGAAGGAAGTCCTCAACTCCCGACTAGAAAAGCGTGTGGACTCGATGGTAGACCAAGGGCTCATGGAGGAAGCTAGACGCATGTTCGATTTTGCTCGGGAGAAGAAAGCGCAGGGCGATCCTGTTGATCACACGCGCGGCGTGTGGATCTCTATCGGCTACAAGGAGCTGGCGCCGTACTTCGAGGCCCTCTACAAGGGCTCCATGGGCGAGTTGGAGTTGGAGGCGTTGAAAAGAGCCTGCGTTGAGTCCGTCAAGTCTGCAACGCGACAATATGCCATATCGCAAATCAAATGGATACGAAACAAACTATGGAAAGCCATTGCTGATGCAAGCGCGATTGATCGTCTCTACCTCCTGGATAGCACGAACGTCGAAGCATGGAAGGAGGCTATAACGCAGCCTTCAGAGGAATTGGTACGAGCTTTGCTGAACGATGAACCCACTCCTGATCCCAAGTCACTATCAGAGCTTGCTAGAACCGTCCTGAGTGCAAAAGAGGCACAACCGGAGAGAGATCCCACCGCACTTTTGCAATGTATAACGTGCAATGTCTGCAAGAAGACTATGCAAGGCAGGGAGCAATGGGATATTCACATCAATGGGAATGCACATAAGAGAGCTCTCAAGAGTGCAGCCAAGAAGGCTGCACGTGATGCGTACCTTCGGAAACGGCAGGATAGTCGCACCTCGAATGTCCGGCCAGACATTAACACTGAAGCCCCGACCAAAGGAGACACAGGGTAGATGCCACTATCAATGGTTGATGTACAACTTCCACTCTTGCACCCTGATCATCCGGAACATATTTGAGAAGAGGGTACACAGGACTCCCCCGGTCTTTAGCTGTGATACAGACTCGTTGTGTTGTATATCGGTGAACGGAACAGACCGTGAATGAGAGGACATTTTCAGGATGTAACCACGACTGGATATTTTAAAGGATAGACACATCTCGTTCCGAGGGCTCAGAGTGAAAGAAGGTTAGCCACATGAAACATACACGCTTTCCGATGCTTGGCGTTCGATTAGATCTAGCTGGGACACTATATGTGTCTTCGAAAGTAGAACATCGAGTAAGCCGCGGCGGATTGCGATTCACCACGGATTGATCACGTCAGTCATCTGATCAGGAACATCAGGGCGCAGGCGCCTCCCTGTGCGAAGGACATTCGTCACTGGGAGATGCACATATCTCTTATTGCGAATCTGAACCAAGAGTCGACATCAGATGGAAGCCAATGGCGACCGTTCATAATTCCGGCTTCCCGTTCATCAAGCCTCCCGAACAACTCGCTATAGAGAACCAAGCTTTAACGAGCCCGAGTCCCTCATCTTGTCGACCTCCAAAGTGAAAAGGCTGGAGAGATGATGTCGCCAGTTCCACTATCCTCCACTTTGAAGACCTCTATGACCGAGGATCTCTCACGTTTGACTATCCTCCACGTCCCTTCCTCCTGTATGGTAGATTTAAGCCCTGATCTTGTTAGTTATAACTCTTGCTGTGACAGTCCTTAATGACCGCATTAGGATTGAGTGAGCCTTTTCCTACATTGCAGAAATTCGGCAGTGAAATTGATGCATATGTTTCCGTCCCAGGTCGCTCGTCCCACTTTCTTGACCTTGCCTGGTATGCTGGCGGTGTCCAAGTCCTCAAGACGGTGGACGATTCCTTGCTGGTCTCGAAACCCGACGATAATTCGAGGCACACCGAGAAGGAATGACTGAGCCCAGAACTTGAGAAGCTTCCTTTCGTATTTGACCATGTCCCGGTCATTCCTGATCTCGGCCGAGGTTTTCAGTTCTACCCAGTTGATGGGGTCCTCCTTCCGTTCTGGTTTGCGGTCCCATACTTCACACAAGTGATTAGTTCATATCAGCTGTGAGTGCATGGTAGAAGCATTGCATCTGCTTACTAGCATCCACTTCGCCTCCAATGACAAGTTTGGTGCGTCCTATCGCAGTCCGCACCACGGAGCAATACTGGGCCTTGTTGTTCACCACGAGCTCTTCTCGACCTTCGATCTCCTGACGAGGAGTTGGATCCCATGGTTGGTTGAGTAACGATATTGTTTCAAATTTGTAGCCTGCATCAATCAGTGTTAGTTTGGCGATGATTCAGCCGAAAAGCTCCGATAGCATTCGGACTCGGCCGTGGAAGATATACTGTACCCCAGTATGCCATTAGCTCTTGAGAAGCCATACCAGGAGGCATTCTCTGATTCTTCTGGATCCGCTTCTGCTCATTTTTGTAGCTGTTGTTCTCTTCAATGAAGCTAGAAAGTATTAGGACCCGCAAATAGCCAACTGGAACATACGCACATAGTTCCCTAACAAGGTTGTCAATGACTTAGCATAGTTACAGCTGAGGATCAATGGTAGCTTACTTGGTACAATGTCGCATTCATCTCAAACCTGTAACGGGGTTAGGCCACCGATGATGGTAGAACTTCACCGGACGTCAGGAACATACCCATTCATGTTGTCAAAGGGAGCCGTCAGAATCTATGCCGCCAGCGGTACATTAGCACCGAGCCTTTGGAATAGCAGTATTGCCTACAGTGGTTAGATGTCATACTGACCTTGGTCATCATTCCTCTCCAAGTGATGATATCGGCTTCACATTGGTTTCCAGTTTCTTGTTCCAGAGCCATGATGGTATCAAGCAATGCATCGAGATGCTCGTCGGCGGAATCATCTAGCTTCTGGAAGGATTCAAACCCCCGGTTCAGATCTGCAGGGAGTTGCGGTGTGTAGTAGTATTTCAAGGAGGAGTCTCCCAGGTGGAATTCATGATCATCGTCATAGGAAAAGCATGCGATTTCCTGCCCATGTTCAATACCAATCTCAATTTATCCAAGTCCAGAAAGGGAATGGGGAAAAGGCGTAAGTAGGGGCAGGCAGGTAATAAGTAATGTCAGTTACTTACCTTAGGACGTCGAATCGCGGCACTGGCCCCGTAGAAGCGGCCAATGGGTTGAATATCAAACACTTCCCGGTCCATTAGTAGGTGATTTTATTCTCAAGACGCAAAAGCATTCAAGATCATAGTTGATTAGTTAGTTGTTTGGTGTTGATAAAGTGATAAGTGGGTGTACAGTACAGGGCCCTAGTAAAAGCTACGTACTGTTCAGTAACTTGGGTACTTACTGTACGGAGACTCAAGTCTTAAATTCGCTCCGCCCGCCCGCCCTTCTGGAAGAAGCCAAGCGCGCCGGCATTGCTATTCTCCCCCACCCCCCACCACCATTAAATGCCGTCTGCCATCCAACTCTTTCTCTCTTCCTTTTCTTGTTGCTAAGCAAGCTTGACGTCCGAAATTTCCGTTCTAGGTCTCCGACTACGGTTTTCTGGTCATATCGTGTCCTGTTTCCTGAGACACTCGGGCATCACTAAAGGTCGTCCGCAGAGCCTCCCTGACGTGGTCTCCACTCCAACAAACATGACCTCACGCATTGAGAAGACCATCGCTCGACAGCAAGAGAAGTGAGTCAACCCACCTTGCGCCTCCCATAACGACTTGCACAAGCCAAGGTGGAAACCTGACAGCTAATATGTTTTGTCATCATCTTCCAGAATCGCTTCTGGTGCATATTACGAAGCTCACCAGCAACTACGAGTCATCGCCGCGCGGTATATCAAACAAGCCAACTACGATGTGGCGGCAGAACTATTAGCTAGTGGTGCTGCAGCCCTCTTGAAAGCCGGCTCCCAGCAGGGTGCATCCGCCAGTGGCGGAGACCTAGCTATCATGCTGGTCGTCGAGGTGTACATCAAGGCTGGTTGGGAGATCATCTCCGGTGATGATGATACTGAAGGACGAATTCGGAAGAGTAAGTGTTGCACCCATTGTCAACCTCGAATAGGGTGCCATATGTCACAACCTAGCCCACGGTCTCATTCGAACACGGCTGACGGGAAATGTCAATAATAGAGCGGTTGATCGAGCTTCTGCACGCCTTCCCACCCGAGGAACCTACACGGAAAAGGTTTATCCAAGAGATGATTGGGTGGAGTGGTCGTTTTGGACCTCTGGAGAGAGGAGATCCCGAATTGCACCATGCTGCTGGATCAGTATACGCCGAGGGTGTGTGAATCACATTAGATAAAGATGACCGGACAGCTCTCTAATCTGAAGCTTCTAGACAATGAACCATATGACGCTGAAAAGCATCTGATTTTCGGCACCTCAGAATCGGCCGAGACTCTGGCGAAACTTGAATACGAGTGGTATACCCATGACGATCCGCATACGGCAGCAATTTACGCATCTCGTGCCGTATTTCCATACCTTCTCATCGCAAACCTTCGCAATGCCAACAAAGCCTTTCTTATCTTCACGTCAAAGCTTTCCTCCTCGAATCCATCACTCGGTGTACAAGAGGTCAGCAGCGCTAGCTCTGACGTGCGGGTCTACCCTGCGCTCCCTTTGCTGAACTTCATAAGCATGCTCCTCCTCACAATACAGCGTGGTAGTTCGGATCTTTTCAAGCAGCTGACCGCTCACTATGCATCCCACATTCGCGAGGTTGGCATCTGGGACGAAGCCCTGGCTCAGCTGGGTGAGCAGTATTTTGGAATCAACATTCCCAGGCAAAGTAACCCCTTGCTAGACATGATGGGCAGCATGCTTTTTGGAGGTGGTCAGGATACTGCCGGTTCCCGGACGGCCCCTCAAGGACGAGTGGGCTCGAAAAGGGTCGAGGCGCCCCCTGCGAGTATGGAGCTTGACTAGTTTGAGGCTGGCGGGAACTTCCGCGATGTAAATCAATGCAGTTCATATACATCATCCACCATGCGTCATGATAGGCATAAGGCATGTTAGCACCGTGGAGATTCTAGATGCTGGAGTCGACCTCGGGCTCGTACATCCAATTATCTTCATCCAAAGCAGCCACTTTGCTACGAAGGCTCTGCTGGATAAGGGTTAAAATCTCTGTCTCCAGTTAGGTTCTTCCTCTCTCATGGCTGTCGAAAAGACTTACCAGCTGGCTCACTACTCATACGCCTGCTCTTGTTTCGATACATTTCCGATAAACTGGCTTCAATCTCTATGGTGGATTAGCATGGTCTTATACGCATGGCATGGCGCAGGATTCTTAAAATGAAGTCGCTTACTCTCTTTCTCCCGTCTGGAGATATCGGTCTGGTTTGTAGTATCGACTGTTGCAGTTCCGGAGCCGCCATGAGCACCTACGTCTTCTATACCCTCCATTTCATCACCGCCATTGCCAATCAAAGCGGGGAGAACTGGAATGTCAAGCTTGTAGCCACCGTTCTTGTCTCGGGCCACAATTTCCCCTCCATCGACGGGGCCAGAACCCAATGACGAGGCAGAGTCCGAGGACATTGAGGGTGCCATATGCTTGGATAGAACCGGAGCCCCCTGAGTAGCACTGCTCTGCGCAGAGGAGCTAGAAGGAGCGACCGACCCAGGGCGTCTGCTGAGATGATGATGAAAGAGATTGCGGCGCACAGAGGTCGTTCCCATGGTGATGATTACGAGAAAGAGAATTCACTGGTTGAGGTAAAAGCTGTTGTAGGAATGGTGAAGTAAAGTAAGCGGTATCCCCGAAAATGGTAGAGCGCCTAGTAGTGATAAAGGTATTAAACAAGGTCTTTTAACGTAATACAGACACGATAAGTATAAGTTGTAGAAGTTGGAGTAGTAAATAAGGGTTGTTGGAGTAGTAGAATACTTTTTTGGCGTCACCAGCTCCAGACTTAAGGTGTGGTGCATAAGTGACTCCGTCCCATGCAGTGATCGAAAATGGAAGAAATATGGAAAGCGCAGGCGGGAAATACAATCGGTCTTTTGGCCAACTGGCCAGCCGGACCCCATGTGATCTTAAAACGGCAGAGAAAGATAGATAGATAGATCCCTGCATCATCGACGGGAACCGACTTGCATAGGAAGAGTGCACTGTGAAACCTGCTGGGTTGCTTGTGGGAGTGAAAGAAAAGAAGAGAAAAGCACTCACGATCACAGGCTCTGGTCACTGCACCGCCGGCACTGGGCAACAATCAATTAGAACTCCTTTGGGCGGACCCCCGCATGTCCGACGCGTCTCCGCCTTGACCTGCGCGCGTCTTCCTTTCCTCGAGCCATACCCGACCTTTACTGAGAATCCATTTGCCTGCCTTGTTCGCATACCACACAGAGGACAGCTCGACTCTCTTCCTTCTCACCCATTATCTCCATGGCTCAAGCCGAATCTTCAGCCAGCGCTGCCCGCAATGGACTCAAACCCAATACGGCCGGCGCTCCTTCCGACTACGAGCTTCCTTGGTATGACGCCGCCACGATGACCACGGGAGCCAGGAACTGACGTTATGTCGCAGGGTCGAGAAGTACCGCCCGATCTTCCTAGATGATATTGTAGGCAACACAGAGACCGTTGAACGATTGAAGATTATCGCCAAAGATGGGAATATGCCACACGTGATAATTTCTGGCATGCCTGGTATCGGAAAGACAACCTCGATTCTGTGCTTGGCAAGGCAATTACTGGGAGATGCATACAAAGAGGCTGTGCTTGAGCTGAACGCCAGTGATGAAAGAGGTACGCCCACCTCTGAGCGGAAGCCTGGACAAATTTTGACACCCCTCTTAAGGTATTGATGTTGTGCGCAACCGGATCAAGGGCTTCGCCCAGAAGAAAGTTACACTGCCTCCTGGCCGTCACAAGATAGTGATATTGGACGAGGCAGATAGGTACGAGCCCGTGATCAACCTCCTACGCAGCTCCCCTCCATTAACGGACAGTATAGTATGACGTCTGGTGCCCAGCAGGCGCTACGACGTACCATGGAGATATACTCGTCTACGACTCGTTTTGCCTTTGCGTGCAATCAATCGAATAAGATTATCGAGCCCATTCAATCCAGATGTGCCATCCTTCGTTATGCCCGGTTGACAGACGCCCAGGTTGTGAAGCGGTTGAAACAGGTGTGTGACGCCGAGAAGGTGGAACATAATGAGGAAGGAATTGCTGCATTGGTATTCAGCGCAGAGGGAGACATGCGGCAAGCCATCAACAACCTCCAAAGTACATGGTCAGGGTTTGGCTTCGTCAGCGGGGACAATGTTTTCAGGGTGGTCGATAGTCCACACCCCATCAAAGTTCAAGCCATGATCAAGGCCTGCTGGGAAGGGAAGGTGGACGTTGCCCTCGACACACTCAATGAGCTCTGGTATGTCTCTTTCTAGGACCATCACCGACATCGCGCTGTGGAACTAACGAGTATGTCAGGGACCTGGGATATTCTTCACATGATATCATCAGCACTATGTTCCGAGTAACCAAGACCATTCCCACTCTGTCAGAACATTCCAAGCTCGAATTTATCCGTGAGATTGGTTTTACACACATGCGCATCTTGGACGGTGTACAATCTGTGCTGCAGCTAAGCGGTTGTGTCTCTAAGCTTTGCAAGATCAACATGAGACCTCAGCTTTTTGAGCCACCGAGGAGCTGAAAACTCAGTCTTTACTACCGAAATTTGCATTTAAGTGGCGTTAGTGGCATTAGTGTAGGAGGTTGTGACAGGTTCATTCATCAGGTATCTAGCATTTCACTTCAAAAGAGCTCCGGATTATTTACAATGTCAGGGTACTAGCTGAAGGAACTACTTTTGGCTGCAGTTGATTCAAACAATACTCCTCGGAAGAGCATAGTGGTCTCACGAAGTCAGATATTTGTCAAGTCTGCTTTAGAGGCATGGGAGCTTCAGGCATTCTTGCCCCTTCGGGTGGCTTGTTCTTGCTTTTGAACTCGTCGCACATTTGCTCGAATGTCACCCATTCTACGCCTTCGTGTTTGTTGATATGCTCAATGATTCTGTCATTGTTAGGGCCCAGCTGCAAACGCTACGAATGAGACATAGAGCCGCGCCAACTCACCTCTCATGCATCAGAAGCACATGCGGACGTCCAGACACGTCAGGATGTATAGTCATCGGGAAAACAAATTCGTCGTACTCGCGGTAGAAGTAATCAAAGTGATCCTAGAGCACCACGAGTCATCAGCTTAGCTCATGTTAAAATCCAAGAACTTTAGCACACCAACCTTCCAGATGTCCTCGATGTCTCTTGGATTCACCCATCCATGGCTGTTCGGTGCCGACTTGATGAACATCATCGGCGGCAAGTCATCGATATACCAATTTCCGGGGATCTCGACAAGTCCTGTATCCTGGCCCCGGACGAGCGGCTTCATCCACGTCTCAGCCTTCTGGGTATAATCGATCTTGGTCCACGAGTCGCCTGTTCGCAGCCAGTACATCTGGCAATCATGATGAGACATGGAATGATCGTACTCGATGCCATAGGAAAGCAGAAGATCAGCCATTTCTTTGCTCGTTTCCCACCACGGGGCCACGATGCCTCGTGGGGGCTTGCCGCAGAACTTGTAGATCATATGGTAGGTTTTGTCCAAGATGTCACGCTGTTGCTCGATAGTCATGTCGGTTGGGTTCTCGTGGCTATATCCGTGGAGACCGATCTCGTGGCCCTGATCGCGGACCATGGCACACTCCTCCGGAAAGGTCTCAAGCGAATGACCGGGGATGAACCATGTCGCTCTGATGCCATACTTCTCGAACAACTTCAGCAGTCGCGTTGTGCCGATATGGCCGGCAAAGAGACCTGGGGAACCGTCCTGATCAGCAGAGCTTTGCTGGTGGCCGGGGGAATGAAACAGCGGGTCAAGTGGTTACTACCACTGATCTTGCTGGAGAGGCTGATCGAGTCGGTTTCCTACCTCGACTGATGTCATTGGAGCTGTCCTCTCCGCCATATGACCCCAGCCATCCGGCTACAGCGTCGATATCGACTCCGTAGCCGACCAAAACACGCTTCTTGCCCATTGCACTGTGTCGCTAGATGGTGGTTTGAAATTGATGGAAAGTAGGTTAGGGGATGAGAAAAAGAACGAACTGGGCACTTAAATCATTTCGCAATTTAATCTTATCGTTTGCTGCGCATGACGGACGGGCCTGCCGCTAAGAGTGGGGAGGAAGAGGGGAAGCTTCGAATTCACCGAGATATGATGATAAGTGCCTCTGATAAAGCCCGGGAGATAAGCCTAAATAGTAAATAACAATCCAGTATGCCGATTCCAGCACAACACTCTGCCGTACCTGACGGGGCCAGATTCAAGTCGGATCTGATCATGTCAATCACATCACTTATTTACTTTCTGGTCCCTCGACCATATCCAAACTCACATAGTCAAGTCAGCTTGTTGTCAAGTGTTATGAGTAGACTAGGACCTCATGAATGTTACCTGGACACGATGTATCCTCCGAGGTCCCTGTGGTGGTCATTACTAGTTACCTCAGCTCGTTTGATTTCTACCCCAAATCCCCTTCCCCTGCCGCCTCCAACTTGGGCCGAACCTGACCCCAACTGCCCCCAACTGCCCCCAACTGCTACGACGCTAGATTGGAGGCGGGTGTAGATAAAAGGTGGGGGTTGACATGAGGGGGCCGGGAAGGAAAGATTAACCACGCACGGGGCAGTTGATTAGACTATCCAGCAATCACGATGACTGTACGTATGCAGGATACCATGGTATGGATTATAATGCTCCTTCACCGATAGGAAATGCTTTTTTCCAGAGGGTTTCGATGGCACTCGCTGCGCCTAGTACCACTTCCTCTTCCAGTTTCCTGCCAATCACCTGGAGGTTAACTGGATGGCCATCCATGGCCCTAGCATCGTACAATTTCCAATTCCATGCATCAAGCTCATTCCGTGGCTGGTAGTCGGCTGGTAGCTCATCCTGGTCTGCCCTGACTCGGTCTACAGGGAATGTGACGGCAGGATAGTCGAGGAAGTTCCAGATCTTTGTGTATCCAACCCACCGCATACTCCGGTGGGGAATAGCTGGATGGGGTGTTGTTGGAGCGAGAAGTATGTCAACGTGCTTACCCGAGGGAGAGAGGGTCGCGTTCCACTTGTCGAGATACTGCTTTTGTAGAGCAACCTTTCTCTTGTTAAGCTGCCAATACTCATAGATGGATACGGCTTTGCCGCGGTTGACAAGCGCTTCGACGTGGGGAATATAGGGCTCTCCCGCCGCGCCGACATCGCGACGAACGTCTTCACCTCCATCAACAGTATAGAACAAGTCCATGAGGCGGATACACTCCAGATGGTCCGACGCGTCCCAGGTCACTATGTCGTGGCCGTGCGCCCTTAACGTGGTAGAAAGTTCACGGAGAGCCTGTGCGATGGGCGGATGGACCCTCACGACTCCATCATCCACAATCAGGCCAATAGTCATAGGCCGATTTTGAATTTCTCGGAAAGCGTTCTCATTCCAAGGAAGCGGTGGGCATTTCGGATCAAACAGCCATGGTTTAGCATCGATTAACGCTCGACTCACATAGCAGAGTGACGATAGGTCCCTCCCCATAGGACCAACAGATGACGGAACGTGCTCCTGTCCTTCAGTTGAAACAGGAACTCCGTGGTACGGAAGTCTGCTACTCTGATGCGGAGTTAGTTTCATCTTCGCTATGGCTTCAGGATTCGGCCGTACACTGGGTTTCAAGCCATACAGTCCCATAAGACTCTGCGGGATTCTGATGCTGCCACCGATATCTGTTCCAAACCCTAAGAGGGAACCGCGCAGTGCCAGAAGCGCAGCTTCTCCTCCCGTTGAGCCGCCCGGCGTAAGTGCAGGGTCCCGCGGATTGGTCGTTAGGCCCCAGAGGGGATTTTCCGTCTCAGCCCACTATCGAAACCCGTTAGTCTCCGGAGTGACTGATGTGAACCGGACGGGGCGTCGCACCATGATGCTCTGCGGTAAGTTCGTCTTGGCTAACACAACAGCACCCATGCTCTTCAGTAACCGAACCAGGATTGCATCTTGCGCAGCGGGCGCAAAAGAACGGCCCACGTAACCCAGTGTACTATCGACCCCTTTGATATTGAACTGATCCTTCAGCGTGACCGGAATACCGTGCAGGGGACCTTTGACTTTGCCAGTCTGTTGAAATTCGCAGTCCAAGTCCCTAGCTTGTGCTAAGGCTTCCTCGAAGGTAACCTCTGTAAAACAGTTTGTCTAGTGATTTGCGCCTGTTAGTACCCTAGGATCGAGTTCGCCATCGTCCATCATGTGATTCAACCCCGTGCTCACCAATTGATGTGCCACCACAGCTCTGAGTAGACATACTATAGTATCAGCATTCAGTCGGATTATCTTGGCGCTTGCGGCCATTCAGAGGTGTACCTTTTGATGTAGGCTAGGGTGGTCTGCTCCGCAGTGATTTTTCCGGACTTCAGTTGTTCAAGAAGCTGAGGAGCACTGTCAATGTCTGTAATCTCCTCAAAGCTGGATGCATCATGCAGGCAGGTGCGCTCATGAACATTGTACACCCGAGGAATACGTTGATCAATATCAGCGACGATGTAGGGTTCTATCTTCTGATCTCGCAGAGAACGCTTTTTAGCGACAATCTGTTCCCATGGTTGTAGGTTTCTCATAGTTGACAATATTCAACGATTTGATGACTGGCTGCTTGGTCAGATTCAGGTCAATTATCGATGTTAGAAAAGAGGGAGGGAAGGAGGGAGGCAGAGAGAGCATCCGGCGCTTTCACGCCTATTTTATATGCTGGTCATGAAGGGCAATTCATTGCCAATTCCAGTTAGGACTCGAATCATACTGTAGATACTGTACCTAGTAGCGATAAGCAGTTTCTGAACCAATTGCAGTTGATTGGACTCAAGGCGCAAAAGTTCATATACCGAGTATATTTAAATACCTTGTAATAAACTCAATGACAATCACAGGAAGTCGAATTACAGTACCAGTACTAAGTCCAACTGATAAAGTGGAGTGGTCCTACTCACTTGCTGTATGAGGGGATAGTTACTGTACTGTACTGTACTCTGTACAGAGTATTTCATACTGTACCGTAGTACGTACTACAATGACATTTAAAGTGGGGATGGAGGGCGGAAGTTTCTTGCCTTTTCCCCGCGTGGTTGCGGTAACGCTCAGGCTCAGCTTTTCTCTCGTTGTTTTCCCCGGCCTCCTGCCTGCTTGCTCCCCCTGCAGTCCCGCCCGCCGCCGCCGCCGCTGCTTGCCTGTGACCGACCGGATCGAACATCCAGACTCAATCCACTCCTCCGAGTCCTCCCATCCCACTCTTGCTTACTTACTAGGTACTCACTCAGACTTACTCAGACTTACTTGCTTGGCCATGATGGTCTGAGAGAGATCTTGCATTCTGCTGTGTAACAATTGTATTTCCCATTGTGAATATGCCACAATCATGAACCAGCCACGCTCGGATGTTGCCGCAACATCGTCATCACCATCAGCAAGAACAACAACAACAACAACATCATCATCATCATCACCATCAGCATCATCATCGTCAGTGACTGGTGCTATTCGCACGGAATCCCGAAGGAAGGCATTAGGAGCTGTTGCAAAGCGTGCGTGTGATCAGTGCAAATTTCGGAAGATCAAGGCGTGTAATCCCCCCCCC